AAAAAATGCGTATGAACTTACCTTGAGTCAAACGTTTTTCCGTCGAGAAATGTGGCGTTATAGTGATAGCGAACATAATCGCCCTCCTTCGCTTCCCGTGCACAGATTGCGGGGATGAATTTTCTGTCCACGACTACATCTAACACGGGACTGGGATTACACTCCACAGATGACCACGTAGTAAGGAGGAAAAACGCAACGCAGCAGGCAAACATCGTTACAGAATCAGAGCAAATAAGTTAAACGAATCCAAAATATAAATTAGCCACTAAATGGAGGAATTTAAAGCCTGGAGCCGTGTGCACTCTTTACGCACAGGGCCGTGGTTGCAGATGTGGCGCAGGCAGCGGATCTAAATGCTGTAAACGTGGACAATCTCCAGGTTCCAGTGAAGAGTTTTCATAGCCAGGGGGAAGGAATGTCGGAGTTGGAAAAGGGGGGAGCGCCTCTGTCAAGTTACCCACAATAATGTAAGACCACTACTTCCTTTAACAAAATAAAACAAAATCACAACAGATGCTAATAAACAGAAATAGTCAAAACATTGATTGTAGTCTGAATTCAAATCTTTATTAATACACAATGTGTCTTTAAGGGTGTGTTATATTTTAAATGTGGTCCACTTCTGAGATCGATTGATATGTCCAGATTTTACGTTTTTTATTCAATTGTGTCTGTTTCCGCTTTTATTTTGAAAGGATGGCCTCCCGTTTATTTGCTTAGCTTGTTTCTTCAGCACCGTTTCAGAAATCACAGAGATCCGCCTCTGTGGCTCAGTCAGACCATCAGCCGTAAAGAGGTCTGAAAGCCCCCAAAGTTTCAGCTTTTCCACTAATGCCGTGAAGTTTCAAAATGTGATTAATGTAGAGATGACACGTCCCAAGTTGATGCAACAGGTCCAGTCTCTTTAAACATGCCGAGTCGGGCCTACGATAGAAATCATTCCGGGTCAAGCATCAATAAAAAGTCTCCATAAGACTTAAAAGAGAACTCAAATAGCCTAGATATAATGAGCATGGAACGTTTTAAGCATAATCCACAACATTATAAGAACACAAATCCGCAAACCTAATAGAAGACACTGTATTCATTTCTATAGGATTTACGTTTATACATTTGATCTTATGCTGATGTATTACTCATATGTTAAGTAAACTTGCATTAGGGAGCAATCAACAACTGCAGATCAAACAGGACAACAATGCGCACTCGCAGTCACTTTTACGCAAGCATTTTCTTGTGCCAAATAAAGAAGCAGAGCAGTGTGTGTGACAGCTGAAGGCCTGCATGAGAAACCCGAGACAGAAACTCTGAAAGACCCAATCCCGGAATTCCCACAGAGCCCTAAGCACTTCAGCAGACCACCACTCAGGCACAGGAAAACAAGAAGAACAGAGAAAGGACGCGGAATAATATGTGGGATATTATCTTATCATGGTGGCATTTTGCGCAAAAGGAGGCGCGCTATTGACGTTGCTCTGTTTGACCTTAGCTTTAGGGACAGACGCGCAATACGAAAACTACAATTTCAAAATGTTCCCCAAGGAGGAGCTCATGCCCCTCACCGCTGCGTATGGATTGGCTTTGGATCATTACGCAGCAGAAACGTGGACGGAGTCGATCAAATACTTGGAATTGAGTTTGCGTTTGCACCGGCTCCTCAGAGACAGTGTGAGGTACTGCGTGCTGCACTGTAATAACAGCAAATATGAAGAACCGTCCTTCACAGGAAACAGGGACCTCAGCGTCAACTGGCACGTGATAATGAGAGCGTCTTGTCAGAAGAAGTGCAGAGCGCATTTCCCCGCGCTGCAGCTGCCTCCTCCAGGCAGAAACTTTCTGGAGGAGTTCAACAGGAGATCTCCCTACAGATACCTGCACTTTGCATACTCGAGGGTGAGATACACCGTACACGTGTAACAGCACACCTTGAATCCACATACTACAGTCATATGTATGTCATTACCTTATTAGGAACACCATCTTAGTATGAACAAATCAATACATTGAATAGCCTTTACAGAAGAAATAAAAACATGGTCATTGGATGCCAGGTGTCTTTGAGATGGATTACATGGGTCACATGGAACACGAGCAAAAATAAAGTTGTATGAAATTCAATAAATTGGAAATCATAGATACAATTGGTATTGCAGTTATACAAAATTACCATCAATGACAAATGTGAATACAAATAAAAACGAAATTGTGTCTTAGACAAAATACCCAACATAAAAATGGGAACTACAAACCTTGGTTCCAATATACTTAAACTAACACAAGCAAAATTCCGCAAGTTAACCCTCTGTAAATGATAAATGAGTGTGGTCAAATATTTCTTCCAGCTGAATGACTTGCAGAGGGCCGTCCCATGTGCCTACACCTACCTCCAGAAGAACCCTGAGGACCAGGAGGTGCAGCAGCTGATGGAGGAGCACAAGAGCCAGTACGACCTGAAGGGCTACCTCTTCGACCACGAGCAACAACCCTATGAGGTGAGGGCCACCTAGACTCTGTCCTTCATACAAATATTTTCTGCATGGAAAAGTTGCACAATATTTGCTGAATAGTCACATTAAGAACAACATCCCACTCCTTCAAAGATTACAGCTTTCTCTAACTTTGACAATATTAATAATGTCCTTTCTAGGCCTCCTTTCTGAGAGGAGTGAAACTCATAAATTCAGGTGACTACAGCGGCGGTGTTAAAGACATGGAGGAAGCTCTGAGGTTCTACCTCCTGGAGTTTGAGCTCTGTCAGGCAGACTGTGAAGGGATCAGTCAACTTTCACCAGACAGGGACTTCTATGCAGTCATAGCAGGTTAGTATGCTGTTAAACAAATGAAGAGATAACATCACTGAACAGCCAAGAAAAGCAAAACTGGACTCAACTGGCTGTTGTCGATTAATTTGTAGTTAATATTTTACGTAAAAAATACATATACATTAATACGTTTTAAGGTTCTTATATCCAAATAAAATATAACAAATTGTAAAAGATTAATGTCATGTTTTGTATGTCTATTAGTTGCTTTTTCTTCGTTCCTCTCCCTATTTCGCATTTATTCATTTTTTATTCTAACATTTAGAAAGTTTTTTGCTAACCGTTGTATGATAATCGCACAGAAGTTTTAAAAAGGGACCTATTTTTTGCAGAAAAAGTACTTTCACTTTTGATTTTAAGCATATTATGTTTGTACTTTTACTTAAGTATGATTTTAAATGGACTTTTATCTGCAATAGAGTACTTTGAACACTGTATTGGTGCTTTCAATTAAGTAAAGGACCTAAATGCTCTTGTCTTTGGTTTTACTTAATAATCTCTGCTCTTCCTCTCCACAGATGAATATGTTGATGTATTATGCTGTAAGCTGAAGTGCGAAGAGAACCTGATGCCTAATGTCGGAGGTTATTTTGTGGAGAAATTTGTGGCCACTATGTACCACTACCTCCAGTATGCCTATTATAAATGTAAGTTTACAACAGAAACTCTCCATCAGCTCTCCATCACTGCTCTTGAATAACATCAACACTCATCTGAGTATCTCCCGTTTCTCTCCGCTCAGTGAACGATGGCCGCAGTGCGCTGCCCTGCGCGTACAGCTACTTCCTGTTTGAGCCTGAGGACCAGGTGATGAAGCAGAACCTGCAGTACTATGGCGCCTACAGTGAGCAATGGGGCCTGCAAGACAAACACTTCACACCCAGGATGGTGAGAGCAAATATCAGATCTGTCTCCTCAGCTTTCCAAAACAACAGCTCCTAATTTGTTATTATTTCAAGATATTCAGTGTTATGAGAAGAACACATCTTACAAAATGTAAACTCGAAACAACCCCTGAGGAACCAAAGACTAAAGTGTGTCCTCATCTGCAAGTTGTCACATTATATCATAAAGCAAGAAATGGTCAGAGATACAAACTTATCCTGTCACATAAAAAAAAGGGTAGTTAAACCTTTTCTTACTGAAGGCCACTATTCACTTTGGTTCCCAGCTGCTTTGAAGCAGAACTGGGTAAAGGACAGGAGCTGAGTGTGTTATTCTCATGCTCTTGTTGTTTGTCTGTTTGAACAGGAGGCTCTGAAACTCTTCAACCACACTGTCACCCAGAAGCAGATGCTGACCTCTGCACAGAAGTACCAAGAGATGGATGATCAGGTGAGATAAAAGGGAAAATACAGTTAAAAAAAAAAAAAATCACTTGAGATTTCACAATAATTAGGAGGAACAAACTTGGAGTCTACTGACTTTAGATAGCGCTTTGTGACATGAAACAAAAGGCCTGTTTGCGAATATTGTAATAAAAAAAACTGATTTTTGTTTTCCCCTCAGGATTTTCTTGGAGCAGAGGAAGCAGCACTTTTGGCCTCAGAGTCTCCGGATGCAGAGTTTGAAGGAATGGGAGACTACGAGGAGTGTTTCACCGCTGACTGGAGGCAGCCCAAAGGCAAAGGAGACGCTGGAGAGAGCTGAGAGTTAGGAATTCACCTGGAACAGTATTCCTAAAACATGTCAGAGATCACCAGAAGAAAAGGACCAGTTTTCAGCATTTCAGTTTCGTGTCAACATCTGTTCTCAGAGTTAGTTTGAATTATTCTCTTTTGTATCTATTTATCTGTTTTTTTAAGAAATACAATAAAGTCAATATGAACTGTTCATACCAAACTAGTCTGATAAGGTGTTCAGCAAAGAGTTTGATCAGCTTGATTACAATACTGTATATTAAGGGAATTACCGTAATATACTGCATGCATGCCTGTATTTACTTTTAAATGGCGCCTTGCAAGGATTGAATACCCAGCAAAGTTGAAAACATTATTAAGTTTAGAACATGTTTATGGTGATTCAAGGCATGCAACACCTGTGAACTGTGTGAGGCACGGATACAGAAACATGCTTCCAGTCCTAAACATCCCTGACAAATACTTAAAAATATTTACAAATACAACCTGCTAACTGAGTAGGAAGAAGAACAAGAAAGTTAACTCTTCACCACCACAGTAAAACCGCTGCTATACATCGAAGAGTATTTATTAAAAGAAAAATGTACTATATTCTTGAAGCTGCATCTTGAAACAGACATGCGTCCAATGTAACAGTCATTGTTTGTAAGATATCTTTTAATATGCATTTCAATATACAATAATATAAGTATTTACATTATAAGCTAATACCTCCCTGGGACTGAACGACGTTGACTGTGAATATAGCGCCAATATCCTTAGATGAGTCCACCTTTGATGTGTGATGGCGGTAAACACAGTGTGACCTGTAAAAGTCTGTCCTTGAGTATTTGATTTTATACAGCATTTACACGGAGTTAAAGTCAAATCAAAGTGTTGACATTTTAAAATTCAGAGACAATTTGCATTTTCAATCTCTTTAACCAGTCAAAATAAGGTAAGCATATTTTTTCAAAAACGAATTTCTCTGACTGACTGCACTCTTGATTCATATAGGAATGTAATTAAGCTTTTTTTAATTGTCTCTAATTTCAGAGGCAACGTCAACATATTCCTTTAATGCTACTGTACTGGCAGTGTAACTCAGATCATCTCTTGTGGCGGCTGTGCGAATGCGCAGTTCCTCGTTGTTACCAAGTAAAGTAAAGCTTCTTTCTAACAACAACCAGAGGAGGACATCTTGTGAACCTGATATAGACTCTCCAGAGAGGATTAACAGAGTGATTCTCATAAAAGCTGCTGACTCTTTCTCCTAAAGGGAGAACATGCTTCTGACATGTTATTTGAAATATATATGTATTGCTTATCTAATGGATCTATTTAACTATCTGACACCCTTTAAAGATAAAGCATATTTTGATTTCTTCTTTACTATAACCTCAGCTAGAATGCACATCCTTATAATGTATGTACACACGTTGAATCGAGGGACATCCTGTGTTAAATCAGAGCTTGGAAGTCTGATCCAGGTCATAAATGACAATCTCTCAGAGGCAATAAGAAACCTTCGTGATCATGCATTCACCAGTTTTGGAAATCTATAGTTCAGACTACTTTAAACTGCAAAATTCAGATCCTCTCTCACTGACAGAATCTTCAAAATGAGCAGATTGACGCTGAGCGGCGGGAAGAGTCTTCTCTCTCCAAGCTTGTGCTTCATTCAGAGTGGCAGTGAGTCACTGCTGTCTCAAAGAGTCCACACTATGATACACTATGTACATCAGCACCAGCATACTTCTATGCATTTTGGTTGTGTAGAGATCACATATCATACAGCAGGATAAAACATTTGGTGTGTACCGAAATCTAATTAAATGTCATTGGCGCAGAGACACAACTAGCTTCCAAGCAGGCCTGAACTACATTCATACATTAATGCATATTATGTAGAAGCATTGATTTAGTATGGACTACTGTTTGATAATGAAAGGCAGCACAAGGAGCAAGTATGACTAAGGAATGGCCTAGCCCTCATCTGGTCTGATAAAATGTATTTTTTATCTTAGCGTCAATGTTCTACGTTTCCTCATGAGGTTAAATATGTATTAAAAAGGGAAAGCTTCCCAAAAAAAGTCCCGACTAGGAATTGCTGTCGGTAAATGTGGCAGAAAATCAGCTGTAACCAGAGGAAGGAGGAGTTTAAGATGTTGAGTATACACACTTCAGTTAAGTGTGTCCTGGATAGAAAGACAAAAAACTAATGAAATGGCTGGAGATACGGACCATGTTTGGGACTAGATATTTACTGACAGTCTTTCAGATCCAGTGGGAACGTGTCCTCAGGGCTCGGTTAAAAATATTAATAATGAGACTTTTCAGGAAGCCAACAGAGACAGGGGTAATGAAATCAGAAAAGGAAACAGGAGAGGTCTGAAGGATCGTAAGTGGAAGACATCTTTGTTTTGTCTCCTCGTGCCGGACTGGACACAGTGTAAGGAAGACAGGACAGCAGAGAGACACGGCTCATGCATTTCTGGAAAGAGAAGAGGAAGAAGAGGAAGAAGAAAAGAGGGGAAGAGAAGGAAGAACAGTGAGGAATCGGATAGTACACACAGGGCAGCTTAGATTTCTTTAAACATAGCAGAAATCTCATTAGAGCTACAACCAATGATTATTTTCATTATAAATTAGTGTCCGGCTTGTTCTTTTCATTTAGTTGTTTTGTATACAACACATCAGAAACTATTTTAAAATACCCCTCAGGATTTGTTAAGCCCAAGGTGACATCTTGTTTTATCCAAAAACAAGTCAAATGTATGAAATATTTAGCAAAAAAAAGACATTAAATCAGTTAATCAGACTAATAGAATTGACACATTTTTCTGTTGATAGAAGAATCGAGAAAATAAACTAAACCATGTAATCATTAAAAATAACCAAAAACTTAAAAGAGGCATTCACCTTTTATTATTGAAATAACTATGAAATCAACATTACAAAGTCACCACTAGTAAGGGGACACTCAGAGAAAAATAATAATCAAGCAAACTGGTATTACAGATTATAAGTAATAGATGATTTTGGATTATGATTAAGTTGCATAAATTGTTGTGTATTTTGAAATCTATGGGAGAATAATGCAAACCCAAGGCTATATAAATGGCGTTGGTTCATGCTGCATACTTCCCTATACAAATAAGTATTAGATTCAAAGTTGAAGATAAAAATAAAGCCATTGAAGCAGGTGACAGGTGTGTGTGTGTGTGTGTGTGTGTGTGTGTGTGTGTGTGTGTGTGTGTGTGTGTGTGTGTGTGTGTGTGTGTGTGTGTGTGTGTGTGTGTGTGTGTGTGTGTGTGTGTGTGTGTGTGTGTGTGTGTGTGTGTGTGTGTGTGTGTGTGTGTGTGTGTGTGTGTGTGTGTGTGTGTGTGTGTGTGTGTGTGTGTGTGTGTGTGTGTGTGTGTGTGTGCCTATACATCTTTGAAGGTGCTCAGCAGATCAATAAGGAGAGGATTCTTATAAAAACAGACAGCATTATGTCGACATAATGAACAGTGAGTAAATGTTTTCAGAATCAGGACGGTTAAGCGGCATCGTACCTTCCTCTTCGGTTGTTTCTGGATCCGCAGAGTGGCAGGAACAAGATGGGAGGAGCAGACAAAGAAAAGACAAGTGAAGTAGATAAAGACAGATATTCAACTGTACATGTGCGCGAGCAGCAGAGAAAAATATGTAAAAAAACATGCAATGAACCCAAGGCTTTAAATGCAAAGCATCAAAAGAGACATATTTGTTGTTATCCCGAAAGTCTACAAGCAAATTGCAACCGTACAATCTGTCTTGCGATGCTTCAATGTTACTCATGAGATGAATGCAAATGATGACAGTCGCATTTTAGTCTCTTTACATTCTGCAGGCATGCCACAGCAAAGCTATCATGAGGCAAGGCAGCATGTCGAGTGTGAATAAACAAAATCCAGAAAGAAGATCCAGTCGTGCGGAGAGGAACATGGAAAGAGCTTATAGAGCTATTTGTTTGGGGGGTTTGTAAGAATCTGCATAGTTCATTCAACTGATTTCACATTGCACTCCTACAGCACAGTCAGAATCGCAAAGGAGAGATTTTTCTTCATTATTCCGCGCATTCTTCCTCCAAAAACAGTCAAACCTGTCAGAATCTGGTGCCTACATTTCCCACAATTCAACTCTACCAACCACCCTTTGGTTAGAGATTCAAGTATACAAGAAGCATCTATGTCGCCTTAAGATGCTACCCTGAAACAGAGATGAGGATTAACCTCTTGTACTTTTAGAAAATTAACAAAAAAAATCACACATTAATCAAAGTGGTCGATTATGCCATGTCAGGATGAGAATGTCGTTAAAGAGTTTACTAGCCAGAGAGAAAAAGGAAGGTTTCGAAGTACGATAATTCAGAATTGGTCCACCAGCATTAACAATAATCCCACATGGTCTCTGGTTGTGAGGATGGATCAGACAACAAGCAGAGGAGCATTCAGCAGTGTGTGTTAGCTGACAGAGAAACACAGCAGGCACACACAGATAGAGGCATGCCAGAACTCTTACTTAAATCCCCAGCCAGTCCCCCCCAGGACTATCGCTGCCACCAGAATCGCACCTGCGACCGAACCTATTATGATATTGGTGCCACTGGGACCTGTGGGGGTGAAGGGGTCAACGTGTGAGGGGGAAAATAGGAAAACAAATAATAATGTGAGAGTGCTCAATACCATAAAATAGACAGACATATCCTTTAGTCTTTTATTACTAATTAGTAATAGATCAGTGCTGTAATTATTTATTTATTTATTATTATTATTAACAAAAACTACGTATAGTATTCTGTATGAATTAGTGAATGGGTGCCTAGTGGACTTTGGGTACATGCAAAAGTGAGACAAGATATTGAAGTATGTACACCAATAAACAAAACAAAATATTTATCTTTTATTACAGGCTTTTATTTTAATTTTAAAGCAATATATAAATAAATCTATGACTATCGTTTCGGTAAAATTCAATTTGATTGTTCTTAGATTGTTTAGTTGATAATGACATGTAACAAATGTGTTTACTTTATTTATTATTATATATTTTAATAGTCTAAGTTACAAAAAATAAAATGACTTTTAGTTGTTTCGGGACGCAGGTCGCAGTTTTTAAGACCATCCTTTGATGACAGCTTTTGCTTTATTTTCTGGATTAATGAGGAGAGAAATTGATTTTGTTTTGTAATCATTTTCTTTTTTTCCACTGGGGTGAGGAGCCACAGTATCTGCACTGGTAAAAGGACATTACAGGTAAACTGCTCGGTGTAGTTACATGTACCTTTGTACACGGGGCCCTCAGGCGGGGTGGGGATGGGAATCGGGTCGAACACGCTGCAGTCCTTCCCGGTGTGGTCGGCATCACAGATACACCTCACCTCGTTGCTGCAAGTCTGCAAACAGGGAGGAGAAATGCAGGCATTTAAAAGCTTATCTTGTTTACTAAACACAAGAAGTAGTTCCCACCAGCAGAACTCCAGACTCACCCCGTGGTGGGAGCAGATGTGTGACACAGAGGAGCCGGCGCAGGTGCTGAGGTTGAAGGTGGTGACGGGGAGGCAGCGGCGCTCCAAACACATCATGTTGGGCCCGCATGGCGTCCCGTCCTCCACGTAACCCATATCCAGGCCGTCATCCAGCACCGCATGGCCGCCCCTGAAAGTCAGAGGGTCACAATCATCAGTCTTTGGTTTTTGACTAAAATAACTATTTATATCAAAGGTGTTCCAGGATGAATCATTCTTCCGACATCAGTGCTTTCTTTATGTGTTGTTTTTTGTTCCAAACCTTGATTTGGATGATTTGTTTTACACATTTTTAAGTGTCTGTCACTCTTTTTGTTACTACCAAAACAAAAAGTTCAAGGTCCAGCACATCATCATCATCATCATCATCATCATCATCATCATCTTTCCTGCATGTAGTGAATCCAGATTAAAATAAAGTCAGTTAAAATAAAACAGAACTTTAATAATCCAAAAGTATTTTATGCCAAAACAAGAGTAAACAATGTATAAAATATTTAAGAAATAAAAATCACAATAAATGTAATAAAAGACTTAGGTGAACTAAAAGTTATATTGCTCAGATTGAAGACATTTGAAGAACATTTAGATTAAGCGGCCAACTATCATAAGTCTTTTGTTTTTGACTAAAAGTACTATTTGTATCAAAGGTGTTGAATGATCAATCCTTCTTCCGACATCAGTGCTTTCTTTATGTGTTATTCTTTGTTACCATCCTCCTCATTTGGATGATTTGTTTTACACATTTTTAAGTGTCTGTCACTCTCTTTGTTACTACCAAAAAGAAAAGTGCAAGGTCCACAACAAAATAATCATCATCTTTCCTGCACATAGTGCATCCAGATTAAGATAAGGTCAATTAACTAATGGTGTTCCTCAAGGCTCTGTTTTAGGTCCACTTTTATTCTCCATATATATCAACAGTTTAGGTGAAAATGTGGATGAAGCTACTTTACATTTTTATGCGGATGATACCGTGATGTACTGTGCAGGTCCCTCCATTCAGGAGGCTGGTGTTAAATTACAGGATGTTTTTAACATTATTCAGACTCAGCACGCTGAGCTTAAGCTTCTTTTAAATGTTGATAAAACCAAGGTAATGCTCTTTTCTAAAGCTAAAAAGACACCAGAGCCTGTTTTAGATATTGTAACTACGCAAGGAATAAAACTTGAAGTGGTTACCTGTTACAAATACCTTGGTATCTGGTTGGTGATTGTCTCACTTTTAAACTTCATGTTAATAACCTGCTTAAAAAGCTGAGGGTTAGACTAGGTTTCTTTTTCAGAAACAAGTCCCGTTTCTCATTTGAAGCCAGGAAAAGGCTCTGTGACCTTTTTACCTGTGCTGGACTATGGTGATTTGTTGTATATGAATGCACCTGCCTATTGCCTGGACAAGTTAGATGCCGCCTATCACAGCGCACTAAGATTTGTCACAAATTGTAAAGCACTTACACATCACTGTACCCTGTATGCCAAGGCAGGTTTGCCATCACTTACTGTAAAGAGGCTCAGTCATTGGTACACGTTTATTTATAAAGCTTTGTTGGGCAAACTCCCGTATTATATCTGCTCTCTGATAACACAGAGAGTTGCAAGCAGCTATTGTCTGAGATCGCATGATGTAGTATTGTTAGATGTGCCAAGAGCAAGGACTGTCTTAGGTAAGACAGCTTTTATGTGCGCAGCTCCACTTGCTTGGAACAATCTTCAGCAAGAATTGAAACTGAGCAATCTCATTCCTCTGCATGTTTTTAAAGCTAGGCTAAATGAAATGCTTGTTGATACTATGGGCACTTGTAAATGTCTATAACTATGTAAATGTATCCTGTAAATATAATGTATGATGTCCTTTATTGTTTTATGTTTCATGTGGAACCTATATGCTGCAGGTCTCCCTTGAAAAAGAGATCTATGATCTCAATGGGACCAATCTGATTAAATAAAGGTTTGAAATGAAAAATGAAATGAATTAAAATAAGACGGAACTTTGATAATCCAAAACAAGAGTAAAACATGTAAAATAAATAATACAACAGTGCATAATAGAATCACAATAAAAGTAACATTTAATAAAAGACTGAACTAAATCTCATGTTGCTAAAATTGAAGACATTTGAAGAAAACATGTAAATTAAGCGGCCGACTGTATTTGTTAATCCTCCAACTGTTCACCAACCGAGCTGCCAGAGAGAAGCTGCCTCACCTGCAGTCCATGTATCTGTTCTGGTGGTGGATGGTCAGACTGGTGAGCCTCCCCTGCAGCTCACCAAACCTCGGCCTGTCCGTCAGGTTGGTGCACAGCAGCAGACCACACAGGACGTCTCTGATGGAGGCAAAGAAGAAGGTCAATGATTTAAAACTGACTAAAGGCTCCACATTTAAAGACTGAAGCAATTCTATAAAACCAAAAACAGGCATCCTCAATCCAACCATGTTGTTTCTTGCAATTCTGTGTGTTTGCCAAAATAAAGTGCATTTTATGAAGCCATGCTGTTCACTCACTGCTTGTTGCACTGAACCCATCCCTGACCGCTGGAGTCCGGCCCACAGTTTCCTTTCTCTGTGCCCTCAGAGTTCAGCTTCTCATAGCAGAACCTGTCCGCTGAGTCTGAACAGAGAGAACAGAAGAGTCTTTCACTTTTATCAGAACATCCCATAGCCTTGCTGTAATTGTTACTAAGCATTTCTCAGAACAAATAATAGATTCAAACATGTGAGCCTGCTTAAACTGTCAGAGGGCCATGCAACCTGGAGAATGTAAGCTTAATATCCAATGCAAACTTACTGTAGCCCCACAGATTCCTGCACTGTCCATCTCTGGTCTTACAGCGACCTCCATAACAACGGCCCTGGAGAGGACAGACAAAAAGAGAAACATTGTTTTAATAACCTTTGTGCCTTGTTGTAAAAGTTGCATTTATTTCCTTAAAGGAAAAAACATACATTAATCTATTAATATAATTTAACCAAAGATCAATCTTAGTCATAACCATCCAATATTTACAGATTTTAGAGGGTTACAATCCCTTGTCAGTCGGTGTACACAGTGTCACTTTGGTTTATTTATTTTACAAAAACCGTTATTAACAGTTATTATGATGTATTGCACCAGACACTTTGTAGAGTAGACATGCCCCTAGTGGGAAATGGAAAAATGGCAGGCTCTAGATTGTTAAAAACATCATGATTTACTATAATTCTATAATGTTTGACGGATCAAAATATATGTTTTAATGTTTTTTTACACAGTATATTATTGAACTGAGATTGAACTGAAAAAACTCCCATGCCTAAATGTATGCCATACAGTGAAGTCAAATGTTAAAAGCACCAAAATGTGCTTAGTGAGGACAAAGTTTAAATAAAAAAAGCAAACATAAAACAATAGCTTGATTTCACCTGTCCAGCATCACACGTGTAGCCATCTAGTTTGTGGACGTTATGAGGACACTGCAAGAGATGACATTATATTACATTACATTCTATAAGCATCTTATTTATTATTATTTTCAAACATACATGTTTCAAAAGATTATTAAAGCATCTTTATAAATGTATAATGAGACATTTACCTGGCTGGTGTCTCCCATGCAGGTCTCAGGGATGTCACAGTCGTTTACAGCATCACGGCACGTCACCCCTCTCAGCTCGTACTGTCCCAAACAACCATAGAAGAAGACGAATGGAAAAGACGAATGAAATATAAATAATTAGTCAGAGCCTTAAGAAACAGCAACAAACTATGAAGATGATGTGATGTATTAAAGCAGCTCACCCTGCAGTCCCTGCAGCAGAGCCCATTACTGCACATGGCATTGTGGGTAAGCGTGCACTTCTTACAGCAGTTGGCGCCACTCCGTGCACACTCCTATGGTTCAGAGAGGGTTGATAGTACATCTTTAGATCGATTGTGTCTTTGTGTGTAACAAGCAATGAGATATGAGTAAAGTGAAATGTGCTCACCACTAGTGATCCACAGTCACACTCCTCTCCCATCTCCACATATCCATTCCCACACTCTGGTGGGTCAAACAACTACAGGGGGGGAAATATATGTAAAGTCAATTCCACTGATACATATCTTTCAAACAGACAACAAAAATACATTTCAAACTATTTCATCTTTATTTATTCACAGACAAAATCTGTTGTTGTGTGTACTGATGTACTGAAAAGCTTTTAGTGATGTGGTCTTTAGACTTGCTTTGATTGTTTATCATGTGATATAAAGAAAGTGAATGTGATTAAACTCCCCAGGCAGTGATGGCTGATCACCTCTCACCTTGTTGGGCTTGTTGAAGAGACAGCTGCCTCCTCCCTGCTGGAGGAAACGCAGGTACTCGTCGATACTGCAGCGAGAGAACTTCCTGGGCAGGTAGTAGCTTTTTGATACAATTCAAACAAAGACAAATAAATCAATATTGTTAGATTTGTTTGCAACAGGATTTGCAACACTGCCTGAACCCTTCGAAAATCTGAATGGACCTATTTCACCCAGATAAAGATTCATTTAGCACATTAGATATTCCTAAAATAAATAAATCACCCCCAACCCTAACGATGCTAGCTGCTTTACCAAGTAAATTAGTGTGGAAAATATCCGTTTTTGTTTTCACAGACTCCTGTTTCACCTGAGAAAGATTTCTTAATGTAGGAAAATAAAAGGTGAATACCCTGTGTCCTCCATAATGCAGCCAAGCCACGGGTCGGGACACCGGCAGTCTCCTGGACACACACAGACAACAAATATCATCAAGCAACTCTGAGATCTCCCCACGAGAGGGAGCTGTTATTACAGCAGAGGTGGAGTGTTATTTAAAAGTATCAGCACACACAGCTAAAAATAATACTTTTAATATAATACATTATAATTACATTTTGAGAGCTTTTAAGAGGAACTCAAAAACACTTCACGTGTGCAGTTTAAAATACATAAAAATCATAAAAAGAACAACACATTTAAAGATTAAAAAAACATTATGAAGGTTTTGATTTGAACAAGGAAAGTTTGGTAAAAAACAAAGGGTATTTGTAAAAGACAGATTTAAGATAAAACAGCTTCACTTAGCTTAAATAAAATTGCAGGAAACCATAATAAATAGGAAAAACAAGAGTATGTTAGGTGTCGCTGATCCATGTCAAAAGAGATTGTCCTCCTCTGAATCTTTTATGAAGATCTCAACCAGTGTCTGCATGCATGTGTATGTCTAACCTGCAGCGAGTCGCTCTTTGTTTCTCAGCATGCCGATGTTCTGGCCCAGACTCTGACTCAGTGTGATGGCCATGGGGCCAACGCCGCCATACTGAAGGCACACACATACACACAGTTAAAGATAATAACTCTACCTGAGTCAGTTGTTATTTAAACACATGACCCTATAAAACCACAAACATATTACATTGGACACATGAGGACAGTAAATAGAGTAAACTAAATATAAACATCTTAAAAGAACAGCTGAGCAATGATATCCAGTATTTTGTATAACAAAAGAAAACCTGGTGCTAATTGGCAAAAGGTGAGGGTTATAAATGTACTATCTGCAAATGAACACAGATAACCGGCATGAACACACTATGATGGAGCAAATAATAAGCATTAACTTCACATCATATATTTGCCATAACTATTTTAGTTTGGTGTGTAAAGGAAATCAAATGTTGACTGAATCTCTGTGAAACGCCTATGGAGCCAATAAAGGAATATTTATGCATATGTCATATTTCAGTTGATTCTAAGGGCTTGTGGCTTTTCCATTAGATGTTTCATCAGATGTTATTTATAGGGGAAACTTGACATATCCTGATGTGTTGCCCAATACTAATTTATTCACTCTGCAAAAATAATAAGGGTCCCCTCTTATATAAATTATACTATAGGGCTATAACATGTAATTGTAATAAATATAACAGATCATTTCTATTTCTAAATCACAGAACGATCATCAATATTCAATTTGAATTGTATGTCTTTTTTGCAGGATATAATCTTTGCAACACCTTTAAGATAAAGAGCACCCAGTATTAACTCAGTTAACCTTCATGTGCAGCAATCATGCTACCTGCTCGTAAAACTACTCAATCACAACTGTACATAATATTAAAGATGAGTGCATACCAGTGTCATGAGTTATACCCGAGTCACTGCTGCTTAACCCTCCTGTCAAATCTGAGCGATGTACTACTTTCATCCCTCATAACTTTTGTGGTTTACATCTGGTTGCATCGAGGCTTTATGATATCCTCCACAGTAGACATTTGAACTTGTAAAATTGCTGATCACCACATTCATTTAATTTTGGGTGGTTTAGTCAACTTTTTGATCAGAATTTGGTCTGTTTTTGAATGCTTTCTTTTTTTTTTACAATAAATGTTTATTACATCACAAAAATACAAAGAAATACATGTTCATTGTGTATTCTTTGTATATTTACTGCAGTTGTTCATGTATAGCAGTAGTCTGATACATTGTTTACAGTTTGAAAGGGTGTTAAATTAAATGTGGTGTTGATTCATGTTTTTTTTGTTAATGTAAGAGTATTTAAAACAGGACAGGTCAAATTTGACCGGGAACACCAAAGTAATGGGGGGGAAACGAACACAACAGGAGGGTTAACAAACCATTTTTATTAGGTTCATTGGACAACTACCATGATTTGTATCTTAAATCAATAATATAAACAGTGTTAGGGACACAAATCTCACCTCATTGATGCCTCCACCTCGAGTTAAAGAGCAGATTCCTCCGATGTAGGCCGCCTCACTGCGGGTGCTCATGAACGTCCTCCCACTGTAGGGAAGACGAGATATTCATAAGAAACATTAATAAAGAAAAAAATAATACCAATAATAAGTGACAAACTCCTTCAGACAGAAATCTCACGCTACTAATACGCATTTCATATTAATAGGCATGAAGAATACAGAGAAGAAAAAGAAGAATACAGGGAAGAGGAGGAAGAATAAAGAAAAAGACAAAATTAAGAAAATGAAGCAGCAGGAAAATAATGAGAGAAAGTAGAAGATGAAGTAGGACGACAACAACACCAGTATCTAAAATAAGGAGAGTGAACCCACGAGAAGAGGTGCACGGCGTCGCAGCGCTCCTTGATGCTCTCCTTCCTGTACTTCATGAAGTCGCGCAGGGTGACCAGGGCATCGTCGCCCACGGAGATCCTGTTTTCAGAAGACCAGGTTTCCATGGCCACCAGAACGATGCGAGTGTTGAGCTGGTCCTTGTAGATCTGGAAACATCGAAATTAACAACAACAAAAAACCATCAGAAAAAAGCCTTTCTCTTGATGTTTGCCATCGTACCTCCAAAGAACTAAAGCTTAAACGGATTAGAACAGAAACGATTGACAAAACAAAACAGATAATTGTATTAAATAAATAAGAAACAAAACATTTGTGAAATATGGAGCAGAGCAAAAGAGTTTCATGGGAACTTGGTGCAGATGTTATAAGAGCATTTAAAATGACCTAAACACAGCAGTATAATGAAATACTGTCTCAGGATCAAAACGACTAACAGGGTTTAGCCAACTGTCTTTATTTTAAATGTTGGTTTTATTGTGATAAAGAGTAAATATGACTGTTGAGATTATATACGATTTTAGATTCAAGCCCTACGCTAAGAATAAACTGCACTGCTCTTAACAACCTGTTAGATGGATGAAAATAAATCAGGTCTTAAGGGTTAAGTGAGAGTTACATTTTGTAGATGACGGAGAGTTGTTTCTGAGTGGGGGAAAGCAGCCAGCAGACGGTTGTCATGGAAACCAGCATCACTAGGTCTGAAGAGTTTCCCGTAGCGTTACAGAAGAGGACACAGAGGGAGTTTTTTTAAATTTTTTACACTTCACCTGCTTTTTATGGAAAGTAATCATGTCCGATCAGTCCCATCTTATAAAGGTAATTAAACATGTTGCTAACAGCTCAGGGTTTTTAGGTAAAGCCTCAACATGTCGCTGTATTACAGCAAAGATTTTCCATTTCTTAAAAGGCGTAGACTGAGACACTGGAACTATTTATATCTATCCTGGTTAAACCTTTATTTATTTCTATATTTCTTTTCTAGAGGTGGGGGGAAATGTGTTACATATATCAAGATACAGCTTTTTATGGGTATATTTTGCTGCAAAAAGGGTAGATAACCTAACAAGAAGACTTAACACTGAACATACTTAACTATTTTTGAACTAAAAGGTTGTAGTTGCTCTTGGTTTGGGTCCTTTTTAAGAACGTCTAACCACAAGAAAGATGGGCAATGTCATTCTTTATGTATGTTTCTAATTCATGTTTGGTCTTTAGTTATGTTATGCATGAGGCTCATGTTAATGCAACATTACGGGGCTTGAAATGACTCCTATAAAAAGACCCTGTGAAAGGTTAGAAGACCTCAAGAGATGATAGCAAATATATGGCATTAAAGTAGCTGTTAAAAGTTGAAATAAGGGATGGCAGTTCTCTCACTGAGCAAGGTTTCATCAGCAGGAGGAAACACTCAGATATTTGGCAACTTTCCTGATTAAGCTCAGGAGACTTCCTAAAATAGACTCCCTATGAAGGGGTAACATGGTTTAAAGACAAAAGGATGATTTGAAGAGAAAGCTCATAGTCAAATTAACAATATTTCCACTCACTGCGTCGGCCATGTTCACTACCGCTTTGGCAAAGTTCTTCGTCTGAGTGGTTGACCGTCGAAGCTGCACAAACTTACAAGGAGAGGAGAAACCCTTAAATACTGATTATAAAGTCTAATGAGCTGATTACAATCCTTTTTTAATAAGAGTCACGCTCACTTCCTATAATTGCTTTTATTCAGCAGCTACAGAGATAAGGTAATATAGGCTTCACACGTACCAGCTCATGGTCGTTCACCACCATCAGCTCGATGTACTTGGTCTCAGTCTGGACGGTGCGCGGGCCTCTCCTCGCCTGGAGGGGGCGAAAGAAATCCACACAGTCAGACTTCTGAGTCCGCTGTCATAATCACCTTCACACAGGACAAACAGACACACACAAACAAACACAATGCCAACACACACAAACCCAGCAGGTTTTACTGAATTACTCACATACACAAAGAGACACACACAAGTGCTGATGCTGGTGAAACTCTAGTCTTTGTCCTTGAGAAGGAAACACAACTTGGAAAGCAACAATCATTCTTTCATTAGAGAGAACATTGCTCTGGATCTCTGAGTCTAACAAGTAATAAAACACAACTTTGAAAGCCTAAAAAGACTATAGAAGTGGCAGTGAAAAATGTAAAGAAAATATCCGTTAGGTCATATTTATTTAGTGATAACTGACACATTTTGATTCAAAGGTACACAGATCAAAATCCAGATGTTTCTACTGATCCCAGCAAATGTAATATGTCAGTGAGAAGTGAACAGACATACAAAAATACAGAAATGTCTCAATTGAAACCACTAATGTTGATGTTTAGGGTCAAAAGGTGAAGATGAAAGTTAGAAAGATCATGCCTGGGAAAACCCACACCTTTAAAACCTTACACACCGACTTAGTACTGCAAGTACTCGGTTTGAAGCTTGTAGTACAAGCCAAATCCCAAATGAACAAAGGAGCATCCCCTGAGATTTTAGAAAGCTCCTTCAGGCGTACAACACTACTACTTAATTGTTTTCAACATATTAGCATGAAAGCTGAGAGAGGCTATCAGCATGCGTGTGGAAATGTGGCTTCATCCACACAGACTAAATAATAATAATAATAATGCATTTTATTTATATAGCGCTTTTCACAACTCAAAGACGCTTTACAGTATGAGGGAGGGTAGACAAACAAGGACAGGCAAACAAGTAATAGTAATAGTGTTTGCATATCTCAACCCTGATGTTTCCCTCATGGCGACACTTGAAATGCATGCCACATGTTTCTGGCGTTGGGCCGTCTGTGTGCGTTCCAGTGTGTGTGCGTTCCAGTGTGTGTGTGTGTGTGTGTGTGTGTGTGTGTGTGTGTGTGTGTGTGTGTGTGTGTGTGTGTGTGTGTGTGTGTGTGTGTGTGTGTGTCTCTCAGGAGAAAGAGACTCATAGTATGAAAACTGACTTGTCTTTTTGAGCGTCGCAGGCCGCCTGTAAAGACAGGCTTCTCCTCTTCAGACACATCGTCTCCATCCTTCAGTTCCTCGTTTTGGCCTTTGTGGCCGTCTGTCTGCCCCCCGGGCTTAGTGCTGTTCACAGAGCATCCTGGGAAACACACACACACACACGCATAGAGTCAGTGAGATGGAAAAGTGGCTAGTCATCAGTTCAGAGATGGATGTAACCATGTATTTTAGTTCACTGATCTGCAGAAAAATCAATATCACACAGCGAGAGGAGGAGAGAGAAGGGAAAAGGGAGAGTATAACTGGCCAAATGGAAAGAGATGGGGTGAGGAAGCAGGCTAAGAGGAAAAGCAGGGGTGGGGTAACAGGAAGGAGGAGGGGGGGGGGCATCCAGAAAGGCAGATAGTGTCAGGGACAAAGAGGAGAGGCAAAGAAAAGGAACCAAATGAGACGTTAAGCAAGGGCGAGGAGGGCAGCTGGACAACCCAAGGAGGACACTGTGTGTGTGTGTGTGTGTGTGTATGTGTGTGTGTGTGTGTGTGTGTGTGTGTGTGTGTGTGTGTGTGTGTGTGTGTGTGTGTGTGTGTGTGTGTGTGTGTGTGTGTGTGTGTGTGTGTGTGTGTGTGTGTGTGTGTGTGTGTGTGAATAGCCATCAAACAAACAGACTTGCGTTACAGAACATTTGGTTTAGACGATCTAGTGTCGAGGAACGAGGCTGAACATGTTGTCTCCAAACAGCCTGTGGGCTTATCGTTAACAAGATGCATCCTGCCAGGTTTTTATCAAATCTAATGTTTTGACAACAAATGACACACCAAAGCTGCCTTACATCACAAACTCTTATCAAAATCTGTTTGACATGTCTATAATTTGTATTACAGCAGGTATCTTGTCAAAAAGGCTTAAGAAGGGCAGACCAGGTAAAGGGATTTTGTTTCTATCAAACTTGTAATGCATCAGGAAGGGCTGAAATACTTTGTTACAGGGGAAAGTAACTGTGAGGAGTTTCATTGTGGAGCTTCTTGGTAAAACGGGCCTACCTGGACAGGGAGGTGGGAAGAGGTCAATGTCGGGCATCCGATACACAATGTGGTCACTGTGCTCCTGGAGGGCATCCGGGAAGATGATAACAGACAGTGACAGATGGAGAAACAAACACAGAAAGAGGAGAGAGGAATGAGTAAGCCTTTTTTCTGCAAGTATAAAACCAAAGTTATGTTGTCGCTGAGTATAGAGTTTTATGTCAGAACTTTTCTGAGCCGCTTGTTTTAAAAATGATGACTCGGCACATTGTTTGGCAAACTGAATCATCAATGCCAAAGAGATCCTGCATAAACAGTCTCACATACTGTAAGGTAAATAATAATAAGTTAAGAGTTATACTAAGTCAAACTTCACCCCAAGCCAAAACAATTTAAGTTAGAGCAACTGATGGTGGATTGGGTCACAAGGAAATCTTAACCAATTATGGTAAAAAGAGGGAAAATTGTAAATTAGAGTTGATCATAAATTAGAGTTGATCATATTATGGTGACAACTTCATATAAGCCTTGAAATAACTTTAACCTGGACTCAAATCCACAGCTTCTCGGGGTGAGAAAGCGCTGCTGCGTCCTCTGAGCTAGAGATGGATCAACAGGGAGATGCTCTGATGCATAATTAATTCATCACTGGGCTGTCATAATGGCAATTAAACTAGTGGACACTGTGGCACACTTGAGCTCGGGATAAATACTTTATGAAAATAACCCCTCTCAGAGAGAGAGAGAGAGAGGGGAGAGAAAGAGAGAAAGAGGGGAGAGAACGGTTTTGAAGATGAGCTGGGAGGCTATCGATCCATCTCTCGAGTATATGGAATTATTACTGTGGGCCTTAATGGAAAAAAGCTCAGCCTCTCCCACTCTAAACCCTTTCATCTCCTCCCATTCATCCGTCTGTAATTCACCCATTTCTTTTTAATACAAGATCTATTTTAAAATCAAATCTCAGTATTTTGAAAAGATCCAAAAAGCCTCTTTTGTCATTTCTCTGTGAGATGACGTCTCCCTCAGATATGAGACAGGAGATGTGTTTCAGAGGTGGTGGATTGTGTGTCAACTCAATACTTTCCATACAGCAGCTCAGAGATAGAGTGACACTGATGCTAAGTCATGGAGACGAAAAAAGAAATTGAGCCTGTGGGCGACTTTTAACAGTATGTTGTTGAGTTTGAACGATTTGTGCCAGGGCTGCGATATTTTGTCTATTCACACAAGCTTTATGCAACGTTGGTTTAATGCCAAATAAGTTGATATGTGTGTGTTTACTACTAATTCGACTAGTTGATCATCCCCGATGGGTTTCTCCTGCTAAAGCCCTGACTCACCTCTCCACTGCCAACAGGTTCAATCCCGTATGAGAAATTCCCATTAGAAAACATTCCCCTGAAAAACACAAAACACAGCAGCATATTAGAGTTTGTTCGGGCTAGTTTGTGTCCGTATGTGATTGATATTGATGTGCTTTAAATTTGGCCTCCAGCAGTACATGTTTTTTTATGTAATAAAAGCTTTTCGGAATGGTTAAGCTCTGCCGTAGGTTAAATATGTTTGAGTATTTAAAAAAGAGTTTGGGATCATATTTTATGCCAAGTCTTTACAGTAAACAAGAAGCTAACAGCCTTGTAGCATAGCACACAGACTGGAAAAAAATAGCCTGGGGATTTACAAAGGTGACTAAATTAGTGTAGCAGCTCACATCTTGTTTGTTTAATCTGTGCAAAAACGTAAACATTTAAATGTGCTATTGTGAAAGAGATATATGTGCCCAGCTATTTGGCAGTTTGTATGTATTAAACAAACCAGAAATAATATGTTAATTATTGAGCTTTAGAGATGCCAGTAGGTAGATTTAGTTTGACAGAGCCAAGATAGCCGTTTCCCTGTTTCCAGTCTTTACAATAAACTAAGATAAGCAACTGATGGCTCCAGCTTTATATTGACCAAAAAGGCTCGACAGTAAATGATTCACTTGAAAAAAATGAAATATTCATTGATATTCTTTGTGTCATTTTCTTCTAAACTGAAAACTGGGCTGGCATGGATTTTCCACTTGACTTAACGTAGCAGAACTACTGTGTTTTGGGGGGAATTTACAGGAATACAGAACATGTGAATCACATAATAACACAACACTTTTTAATGTGGAATTATGGTGAAGTGACTACATTTGCGTTGGACTCACCGCAGGCCGTGGCAGGTGGACAGTGCGGCCCAGGAGCCCGGCAGCCCCCGCACACGGCCATGGTAGTAGCAGTGCTCTCCTCCCTGGAAACAAACCAAAAGGAACATTGAAACATTGATCATCCACTAGAAATCACCTCATATGTCAGAAAAGAAAACTGACTGTGATCCCCTCGCTGTTTCTGATCTTTCGGCCCCTAAATACAAAGAGGGCAGGTGTTGACAGTCAGCTGAACTGGTGGGTCAACTGTAAGATATCAGTGACTCCTGAAAGACTGTGGGAAACCTACACCTACAGAAACTGCAGCCGAGTTTGAGTTTCAACAAGGTCTCTAGGTCTAAATTGTGTCTGTTTTAGTGATGTGGAGAACATTCAAGTGTAAGAATTATAGTGGCAAAATGGGAGAAACTTGGCATTGGCAACTTTGGTTTAAGATTTCAATAGTTGGTATCAATGTTTTAATGTAATGAGTGGTTAAAATGTATAAGTTTATAATGAGTTGTAACTGGACATCAAAAACCTCCCTATAATGTTTTAACACCGTTTCTTATTAAATAGTTTTTTCATTTTACATCTACATTATCTTTATTTAGCTATGAAATGATTTACTATTATCTGACAGGCCTGGAGCATAGAGGGTGAGAAGCCCACTTTGGAAAATGTTTTCCTCCTCTCGATAACTTAATTTGTAATGGGTAGCCTAACTTTACACCTGGCTTCCAGCTACCGTCACCTGATTATTCATAATCCCCTAAAAGGTTTCGCCTGGACGATCATGATTTGATGATAGTGTTTCCACGCTGCCTCTCACAGTACAGGAATGATCAGATTACGACAATCTGAGAGGAGACTTGCTGGTGTCATTCAAGCATCATGTGCATGAGAAATGTGTGAGAAAAAAAAAAACCGTTGACAGACAGTATTACACTAAGGATAGTGTTCTTGGATAAACAGGCGGTCTGCATATAAATGGATGGCGATTACAGTCACATGCTGTTTGTGTCGAGTGGTGTGTGTGTGTGTGTGTGTGTGGAAGAGAGAGTCGGTTTCAGGTGTTTGTAATGAACCCCAATAAGTCATGTCTGCCACCTGAGCCTGCTGTCGTCGGGCACGGCTTCTGGACCCAAAAGAAAAGAGGCAACGTGGAGCTGCTGCCCTTTATGCTTGGGCAACCTTTACTCCGAGCCTGAAAAATCTCTTTGACGTCTTGTCAAATGAAGTAGGAACTGATCAGAAAATATTTCCCATTACAAATACGACTTTGGGGGCTTCATCACTGGATCTAAAATAGGCTACTGTACTGTATTTTTCCGCTTCAAGCTAAAAATCAAAGGCTTTTTTCATCCCTTACCCGCTGGGAGTCCAGCGTGGGGGAGCTTCAAATGAAACAGAGTCTGTCTGTCTGTCTGTCAAACATGATGTCTCCGAGGACACAAAGTGCTGGTTTCAATTTTGATTAAATTTGGGGGAGGGTGATGTTGATGCTTTTTTTTGTTTAGGTGTTTTACACTGATCTGGTTATAGCAAGGAAGCTGTTGAACATTGCATACCATTATAGGCTTACATTCCTTTTCCCCTAGATCCACAAAACAACACTAAGGGATGAGGCTTCCATTTACAAAATATAAACATTTGCTTAAGTATTGGATGTAAATCAAAACAGATATAGGCTCCCAAATGTTTCTGCATCAATATAACTACAATCAACTCTAGTGTAGTTTCAGTTTGTCAGAAATTAATCAGAATTCCTGATTTTAAACATTTTGGTTCAGACATCACAAGCAATGCACGCACACAAATATTTATTACGAGCACAAAAGCATTTAAAATAATGTGCAGTAAAATATTAATTTGTAATAAAAAAAAAAGTTACAACACTTGATCATTTCAGGGATTAGTTTAAGGCTAAGAAGCCACATATTCTGACAATTAACCAAAATAATACCTACTTTTATCTAGCTTATTTAGCTTCAGTGGCAGCTAAGTTGTTGAGAAAAAAGGGACTTTAATTAATCATTTATACCGAATAATGAGACGGCCCACAGCATTTAGTCAGGGGCAAGATAATAAATAAATAAAAAGGTCGGATTACAAGGCTAAATGGAGGAAATCAAATTGTCTAACACAGCAGACACACGCTTGCAGTAAGTGCTTGATGTATGGGGCTCAAATAATGGCCACTCGCACATACAAAGAAACCATGTTGTATGAGAAAGCATGGATTAAACATGACATATCATCAGTGCTGGTAGGGCAAGGAAAAGTAAGCAGTATAGAAGTGTGACTAGAAGAATGAAATAAAATAGCTTGCAAGCACAAATAGAGGCGTAGAGGCAGTTCTGTCCTGGAGGGACGAGGATTAAATGTGACATAAGAAACAAAGTGAGTTATAAAAGCTGGAGTTAACTCGATGCCTGGACTTTGACTCAGCATTGTTGAGCTGAGAGGAGCAGAGGAAGGGTACTGAAACAATGGGAGTTAATGTAAAGTGAAAGGAAGACTAGATGGTACACAATTATAAATAAGACTATTTGACGTCCTCAGTGACAGCAAGATACATGTTAACTTTCACATCAAATAAAGCCAAATTTTGCTTAGGATATAAGAGATTTAAATAAATTAAACAGAAAAACAAAATCATCCTTCCAATTGGGTTTTCATCAACAATTCCGAGGGATCGACATTATTACACATTTCTAAAAAACTCAGAAGAACATTAATATATAAAACAGCTTCTATCTATTCAAGCCCATCCTCATCTCTAATGCAATATATCCTCTGTGTCATTTAGATTAAATCCAAGTGAACCAGTCACCAGCTCTATGCAATAATATGGATCTACACTGCAGGGACCAATTCAAAAAGTGACATACAAAAGGAAGGAGGAATTTATTGTCACGTCAATAAAACTAAAATAAAACAAGATTGAAATGGTGTTGGAGGGGGAGGGAGCTACCTACAGTGTAGCATGCAGATAATGAAATTCCCATAAGCTATTTCTACATTTGATAAACTATAGACCACAATTAACCCTACCGTATTCATCTAAATGTCCCACCAATTCAGTATAGCTATGACTTTTGTAAATAGAAAAATCTACAGCATTTGGTATTAATTTATTAATTTGTAACATACTCCTCTTTTTTGGAAAGCCTTTTATGCAAGAGTCATCATTGAGTAAATATTGTATCTAAGATTTAAAAATACTTCCCAATACAGAACTATCAGACTAATGGGCTGCCACTCTCAAAACATGCAAGTGCCACATGGTGTTCCCCAAGGATCAGCTCTTGAGCTACTATTATTCTCAAAAGGTATTTTGCACATTTCCCCAAACATGAGAAATCCTACTTTATTATTTTCAGTGGCAAAATACATATTGTAAACAAATAAAGGCCATTAGACATTGCATATCTGAGGTCAACACAATTGTCAACATTTGGGAATGATTTGAGGAGGATCCTTTCAAATGGATCATTAGAGACTTTGACAATATACCAAGCGGGCCATTACAGTTGAAGCATAAACTCTGTGATATGTGGTGGGCAAACAAATGTAAGACACTGAACACAATTACTGTACTGTGGAAGAATGCTGCATTATGGTCTAAAAACGTGTGCAATGCTCACTGAGTGTTAGACTCCCATCAACATTACTAATTCATGGAGCAAATATTCTAAGAATTCATTTATTTAGAATGTGTCGACATAACTTTTGTTTTATAATTTTGCTCCAACATATTCTAAATATATGTTGGATATTATTTCATGTGATACATTTAATAATTTAGCATTTACATAATGTACACAGATCTTTGATATTGGGATTATTGTTTTACATGATATAGAGATAGATTCCAATATTAAACATCTGGTTGCAAAAGTCGGTACAATGGTGGTTGAGAGATTTGCTGTTCATGCTTTTAGAAATGTACATGATTTGAATTCCCCTCACGACACGACAACATGGACCAACACTGCTGCTGCCACTGCTGACTGCTGGAAGCCATGGCAACCATCTACTGATTGGTCAGGTGGTCGCCGAGACAAAGACAGTGAAAGAGAGACAGAGATTGAGGGGCAGGAACAGGGAGGGAAATACTAAAATAAAGCAGAGGATACAGACAGAAAGAGGCCGTCTATCAGATGTTCTTGAGTCTAAAGAAATTATAACATTGGTATAAGGCTGTTTGATCAAATGTGTAATGCACAACAGAGAGGACATCAAAAATCTGTGTGCAATGCAACCAGACGGCTGTTTATGGACGCCAACGATTTATGATGTTTTAACTGATGTAAGAAACCAGGGTATACAGCAAAACAGATGAGCTAACAGTCACTTTAACAAACCAACTTCACAAACGTTTACACTTGCCTCGACACATTCAAACACATTTGCCATTTCTAGGATTATCTGCCTAAACTATTCAATATTGATTTTGTTTAACATTAATCCCTGGAAACAAGCTACGCTAATATTACAATTAAATAAACCTTTATGCATTGGCACAAATCAAATAGTCTGTGATGGAAACGCATTTTAAATTCTGATTAAAATGATGATGGCATTATTTATCAAGAGTTTATTTAAAGGAAACGTTTTACTTTTATTTGAATATATAAAACAGAGAGCAGAAAATGTCCATATTTGAGAGGCTGAAGCAGAATATTCAGTCCTTTTTGCATCACAAAAATCAGCAGGCGATTATTTGTATGTCCATTGAATAATCACATGGTTGATTCAATATTGCAACTCTACTTAAAAATCAATGTGAGAGTAGTAAAGATTTTTTCTCAAGTCTCAGACAGGAAGTGTATATCCCAAAATGTTGAACAATTTCTATAAAAATGGCTTACCATATTTTCAGAGAGCTTTCCATCCTCGCCATAGTGACGCTCCACATAGTCAGTAGAAAGCAGGTTGCTGGAGAGAAGGAAAAAAAAGGGAGAAGAGCAATAATCATTCTAACATTTAGTTGTAACCTGAATTCAATGCTTATTTGGAAAAGCAAGATTGCAGCACTGGCTATTAACTGCCGTTTTGGGTCATTATTCTGGAGTGCTATTTAACAGAATAACATTTCTAGCCAGACATTATGACTTGCCTGAATCTAGATCAACAAATGTCTGATTATAACCAAAGGGTCTCAAGATTCATTTATTCTAAGTGTTCGGAAAGCCAGTGAAAGGTATTACAGAAATACAGTCCATTAGAGCAAGAGAGAATAGGGGGAGGTATACATTTGGCAAGCAGCCAGTCCTTATAATGCCAACGCACAAGACATACAGTAAAATACTGTAAGTGGGCGGGAGAAACGGGTAAGGAAAGATAGGTGGTGCTTTAAACTTTCTATGCAAGTATCTTCATGTCAGTGTGTGCTGTAAACAAACCATTAAACACTGTGGGGTGCGGACGTGTGAATGCTTTGCACGCATGAAGCAACTTACTGGTTGAGTTCCAGGTCAAGGATGAATGAAGTGCCGAAGGCCTTCACCAAGAAGCTGCTCTGGGCCAGATGGACGGGCTGAGGGAGGGGTGGAGGGAGGAGAGCAAAGGGGATGGGGAAGAAGTAACTTAGATTTACAGTTGATTGAATGTACAAATACTGATCAAAGTAGCAACAACATTTTTCAAAAAACTGAATTTGATGTATTATGTTTGTCTGTTAATGATAGTTTTCGGGTTAGCACACCTCAGAAATCAAGGGCCTTTTTACCCAATTTCTAGTTCGTTAAGCGGTTTCGCCTATTAACACTACATACTGTGCAGTATATACACAATCAAATAATATGAAATGATCACTACCTCAGCATTATAATTTCGTTGTCCAATCATGTTCATCAAATAGAGGAAACATTTGTATCTCCTGCCTAACACATCCAAACCACCATCAAGGTCATGCATTCATATAGGCTTCAGTTTCTAGTTTATGTGTCATAGCGCTTTCTGCATGGGAGGTGGATAAGCAAAAGATTAAGACCTTGAGTGATGTGCAAAAAATAAGTGCTTTATAGTCTGAAGTGTATTTCTATTTTTAAAAAACATGCTTCTCTTATTCAAATCCATGCAAGGTTTTAGTTGACTCACTAATTTGTCAAGTATTTCATGTTTTCAGGAAGAAAATGTGACAGAATAAGAAAAAGAGAGGGTGGAGCAGGGATGTAAGGAATTAAATTATTAACAGTAAGTATGCATAGAGACACAAGCAACAAAGACATATAATAATGGGATGTCCTATTTTGGTAGCCTCTCCTTGAAGTGGAGACAGTCTCATCCATCCCAGAGGCTTTTTAGGATAACACTGAGTGTTGGGGCTCAGTGTAACCTTGCTCCAAGGTGAGCCTCGTGCACGTTAGAGACAGAGCTCTGTGGTGGCTCCCATCAGGCAGGTCTCATTAGTATTGCCATGCACTCTCTGCAAACCACTTAGCATCAATCTAAACCTCCACTGGGTCCATATACTGTACAATAAAAAGCCCACAGCCTGTGAGTAGAGATAAGAAAGCTGCATCGGAGTTACGACTGTGGAGATTTATACTGTATAGTCATATATTATTTTTACATCCAATACAAAATATCCAATTTGGACACCATCTCAGACTTATATTATCTTATACACCTTTTTTTTAACAATTAGTTTGATCACTAAATGTTTGCCATCTTCTCAAGTATGAGTATATACTAATTACTGTGGATAGGATTAAAGCATTATAGGCTTTAGTCATTTGACATCATTTTTGACATAATTTTTGACATAATTGTTCGGCATTTTAACCACTGAACATAATGGATTATTAACCATGAGAAATTAATTAAATGTCAGGTCCTCGTTTATCTCAGTTGAAAGAAAAACATCCAATTATATTTTTTCTTATGGCATTTTTTTAATGTCCTTTTGAAGTTGAGATTGTGAACTTGCTGGCAACAAGTTACCAATTTAGGAGAAATTACAGGTGACAAATATATATTCTATAAATATATATTTTTTGGGAAGCATCTGTGTTTTAAAACTCCTAAATGCTCCTGTATTAATATATACTATATAAAGACTGTGATATTGCACTGAGAGTGTCTCAGTTAAAAACGACATCTTAAATGTATCTATCTAAATATAATTTATATTTTTTAACATACATGCTGTGTCAAGTTTTGCACAACATATGATCATGGTATGTTTATTTTGCTTTTAAATGTGTAGTTTACAACTAGTAGAGCAACTCTGAATCCTGGTTCTACCACATATATCATTTTGCATATTGTAATATGTAGGCATTAATACTTCTCAATAATGACAACAAGCATACTTCTTCCAATGGGCGTCTACAATCTCCAAAAGAGAGTTCATGAGACAGCATGACACCCTCAGAGGGTGGCTGAAGGTCGGAGCTGTGTCATATCCACTGACAGCCTGCAACTGACTGACAGCGTTAATAGTGAAGGTAACGAGAGAGGGCAGGTAGAGGTGTGAAATATAATCTAATGGACTAGAAAGGAGGAGGCAGCTAGATGAGGGGGGGTGGGCTGAGTTTTTTTCTGCCCTGTTATGGCCGGGGTATCATGTGGGGGGTGTCACAGGGTGTGGGGAGTGACAGACACATGACCCCAAAGGAGGACTAACAAGGGTGACTCAGGTTGGGACAAAGAGCAGTTGAGGACTAACGGTACATAATTTTCCTAGATTTTAAAAACATAATAACATGTTATCTATTTATGTAATGTATTCCCACTACTTTAATCTTCCCTGATATTTTGATTTATTTTAAGGTTATAATATATTTAAAGAAAGACATATTGATATCATGTTAATAATACATAATGATATCATTTAAGTAATCCAGTGCAAATTAAATTCAAACAGCCCATAGATCTATAGATATCACAATAGTATTTTAAATAGTAAAAGCTATACAAACTTGATAAAGAAACAAATTAAATACCTGAATCTGGCAAAAATGATTACTAAAACATGTAAAAACAGAAATGATGTCTGTACAGCATGAATATAGGGATTTGTATCTCAATAATAGGAATGCATCTCTGTGACATTATACTGAAATTATTAATGATTCAAATGTTTCAACACAGACTTTCTATGATATTCAACTTATTGTTTTGTCTCAAAGAACTCAGCCCTTCTTCATATTTTATAAGAAACACCATTTATTGGGGCGATGTTGTTCAACATTTGTCCTCAAGCACTACTGATGAGAAAATGGTGAAGCTGAGATTGAATGAAGGAGAATAATAATAAACATGTGATCGTGTCTGAATGTAAAAACCAGCCACAGGTGCAGACAAAGCTCACCTGCCCTCCGGCTGTGGAGTTGTTGACCCGGGTGTCCAGGCGGCTGTGGAGCAGCTCCTCCTGGGAGTGGATCTGAAGCAGGAGCCGCTTGGGCTGAACAACCTCTTCTGCAGGCGGCAGTCTTCCCTCCAGACTTCCACCCAGACCTGCAGATGACACATGATAAAACAGTGGTTGTCTACGGATGTGAATGTGATGTGAAATGCCTAATTTCTGCAGAATTCAAAAGCTGCGGGTCAGCTGCTCGTTGACACCAATGCAATTACACACGATGCATGTAATTGAACGGATGCGATACCAGACAGAACACGTATATTTCTTATTTTGTTTTTTTAACCACGTATAACTGGTTGCTTGTGACAAACTACTCAATTACATGATATAAAAAAGGTCTTACCTGTCACGGCGCACCGTGCACACGCTGCAGCGAACAGCAAGCAGCTCACAGCGAGCATGATGCTCTCATAGTCCCGGGGATTTCCTCGGTGCAGCGCCGTTAAATGAACTGATAGTAGCCGAGGGCGCAGCTGCAGCAGGTCTGATGTTGACAGTGTTGTTGACAGTGAAGACAAACACAACAGCGGGGTTCCTTTGAACGCAGCGACCGCATCTCTCACCGCCTCTTCCCGCCTACAGCGAGTTAAAAGCCCCCGGACGAGGCTCCTCTGCTCGGCTGCAGCAGCATGGTGTGTCTCGGTGTCACGGAGCCTCACACTCCTGTCTCTCGGTCTAACGATAAATGTTACTAAGATTGATTGAAGCAGTGAGGCTGCGCGAGGAGTCTTGGACCTGGTAACAAGGAGCACGTGGGTTTTGACGGGCCCACCCCCACGCTCTTTGATGACACTTGATGGGCTCAAAACTCAGGTTCGGGGACCCTAGGCCTAGGGTAACCCCTGATATGAGCTATAAATATGAATGTGAAATCAAATGCATTAGAGGTGGTGATTTATTATAATATCATACAAATGAACATGATCCAAATATCAATCATTACCTTTCCCCTAATTGTGCTATTTTTCAAATATATGTAAGACCTGCAGCCTTACCAGCCAGAGAACATTACTTTTGTTGAATGCCAAACTCAAGTGGTCTAGATCTAAATATAGTGTCCCAGGATCAAATGGGTCACAGGATGATTGGGATACAAAAATACATAACACGATGAGTCGAAACAGGACACATTGACCGCCTGTTGTCCTTCCCTCTCTCTTCCCTCCCTCCCGATTTTGCTCTCCTTTAGCTCTCCTGAGTCAGCATTTAACGGTAAAACACCCTCAACATACCAACATTCCTAAACTTTGTTTTAATTGAGCAACAACTTCGCAAGCACAACATGTTTATGGTAAAATCATTTATTTTAGAACACTGTACAATAATTTACATCACAAGTTATTAAGAGAACTGCTTGTCTTCCATAAACTGAAACTTTGTGTGTCTTTGTCAGACACGTTTTAAATATCCATGCAACGTATTCAGAAGGTGTGATCTTTGAACGTGGGGTATTGGCTATTGTTGTCGTTTGATTTGTTAAGAGCAATAATGAGTCTTTAATGGTAGGTGACCTTACACTTGACAAGTTAAGACAATAAACCTGCCTGTAGCGGCTGCAGCACAACACTGTGCAGCCGCCGCTCTCCTTGACAAAGTCAGTCCTTTGGCCGACCTTCACAAGGAAAGAGCAATTTTGACATTAATCAGACAGATTTTTGTCTCACGGGTTGTGCGAGTCCTCCACTCTACGAATGCTTCATCAACGCCGGCGTGAGTGGGATCTGATCCAGACGCAGCACTTACAATAATTGAGTAATGCCCCTTTCAGAAAAGCCTCATTAAGTTCTACCACCATGTGTTCCCGGACATAGTGCTGAAAGACTGAGTCAGCACCACATACAGAATATTGCTTAGAGTTCTGTGCACGGAGAGGATAAAGGGTTGACAGGGGAAATGATAATTGATGCTCTTCAAATTCACGGGAAGCCGCATTATTTGCTAAAGTAAAATCTACGAAATAAATTAAAAAGAAATCAGCATCTGTAAAAACACCTAAATATTACTTTTTAGTTTGCACTAAGTTTCAAATATGTATTCAGTTTTATTGACTTATTTGGATGAGCTTAAGTGTGGCCCATTGTTTCTTGCAGTGGGATACGCAGCTGCAAAGTCTGGAGCCTTTAAGTTTCCTGGTAGAGATTCTTCCGGTTCTTTAAATTGACTAAGATAATAGCCATTAGTGCTGAACTTCAACAATCTGCACCAAAGTCCTGGAAAAGGCTAAGGGGTCCATTTCTTCCCCGCACAGCGATCCGGCCGGGTTTGGCGGCTGGAGGACGTTGTGCAGATGTGACTCATAGCTGGTGTCGTGCATCCAGGCGCACGGCATCTGGAGGAGCTCCTGGTCCAGCTCGCAGCTCTGCTCAGCGGGCGACAGAGGACCAGCAGAGGTCGTTCCGAAGCGGGACAGCAGGCCACAGTCCCAGTCAGAGCCCGATGATGACGGAGAGAGCCTGTTCAAGTCTGGGATGAGGGATGACTCGATGCACACCGAGTGGGAAAGTGAACGCTGATAGTCTAGACTGGATAATGCACTGGGAGATTGATCATTGGGGGACTGAAGTGGAGGATAACAAGTCTTTGAGGAGAGTGGCTGTGATAGTTGAACAGCAGCAGAAGTAGATAACATTTCCATTTGACGTGGTGTTTGTGAGAAGTTTAGTACAGTAGGAACACAAAATGTGGTAAAAGTCTGTTTAGAGTCAAGCGATTCCTCCGTGCATGTTGGCGAAACATCTGGCGCAGAACAGGGCTGTATTGCCTGACAAAAGAACTTATCGAATAACCATGAGTGCTGATGTTTTGGCATAGTGTCACTTTCTGGTTTGGCAGCTGTATGCCCTTCTTTAGTCCAGCTACCACTGCAGCCAAAATCTGCTGTAATCCTCCTCCTTTTGCTCCGGCTGTGTTCGGGGCTGGCGGATCTACAGCGCTTTTTGGGGTTCGGTGCTGTCACTGACTGGTGTCGAGGGAGGGAGCGGGATCTGCGTGACAACAGCGTAGCCAACTTTAAACCATTTGTGGAACACGTGATTTGACCTAAAAAGCTTTCTTGGTTTGATTCCTTTACTACTTCTGCATCGGTCAGAGACACAGAAGGAAAAAGTCGGGTAAGATCTGGGACACAGTGAGACACACTTTCTGCAGTGTCCATTTCACAAGTGCGTCCTTCCACAGTCTCCTCTGCAGCGTACATTTGAGGACTGAGGACAGGAGGGTCTGAGTACAGGCAGTACGGCTCCATTATGTAATAAGGATAAAGCACTTGAGGACTGAGGGCCGGAGGCAGGGAGTAAGGGTCAGGGGAGGGGCAGGGGGAGAGATCTTGAATATCAAGCAGCTGGTTGGCTGAGTAGTAGTATTGTGGTTCTACATCCAAAACAGGCATGGCTGGACTTGAAGTGCGAGGAGGGCTGACAGGAAGTTGGGGGTCGGTGTTGGTAGTGAAAGGCTGGATGTCAGCAGGTGGAGCGGCTGGTGGAGTTGGGATGGTAAGTTGAACTCCTGGTGATGGGCTGGACGGAGGACCCCTAGTCGGGCTGGAGATGTGAATGTTGGAAGGTGAACCTCTCTGCAGGGACTGAACAGCATACTCCGCCTCAGCATCAGTGAGAGGCTCCAGCTCACAGAAAGGCAAAGGAGTCGGTGGTCTAGGAGGAGGACAGAGAATCTTAAAATGAAAACCCTTAAATGCAGAAGACCCCATTTTTGTCCCGTGAAAAAGAAAAATGACAATAATTGCACAACAAATTATAAACTGCTGGTGTAATGCTCCAATAATGATTTAACTAAATTATTGTCAGTAGCAATTCAGTTATTTTCATCACCGAATAGATTATTTACAAATTAATCTCATGAAGTCGTTTAATTGGCCCATTGGATTGAGTCATTTGATTGGCTCATTGGAACGGGTCATCGAATAAATGTCAGAGAATACTTATAAATCCAAGGTGCTGTCTGGTTTTTCAGTTCAAAACAGAAGGTACTCTGTTTAATATGATATAAAAACAGAGAAAAGCAGGAAATATTCATATTTCAGAGGCTGAATATAGAATTTTCTGCAATTTATGCATGCCATTTTTATTTATTTAATTGGGAAATGTAATTGATTATCAACATTGTTGAAGATCAACTCATCAATGCAGCTCTAGCTGGGTGAAAATCAAAACTCACCGGTCCAGTTGTTCCTGTGACTGTGGATCTGGATCGGTGTTGAATCCTGGAAGCATTTCAGCCACCAGTTGGTCCACCACACTGTAGTTTGAGGCGTCCAACGCAAACGCACGGTGCTGTTCATACTGAATGTGCTGCAATGGCCAACAAAGACAACCGGTCACAATTATATAATCAAAACAATGCAAGGCAAATAATCAGTTATGTGCCAAGAAAAGTGATTGTTTAAGAGTTTTACCTCTTCCAGATTATGGAAGGGTTGATGACAGCATTCACAGTAAGACACGTTCTTTTTGGGGGGCTGCAGAGGGTTACAGCTGAGTGGGGTTTGAGACTTGTCCTGGATGCTGCTCTCAATTGTTATCTTCTCCCTAATTTATAAAGAACAATAGTTAGGATGAGTCGTTCAAGATAGACTTTTAAAAAAAGTTTGTTAGCAAAGCATAGGTTTAGATCACTTCAATGACTGCAGTTAAACAAACCTTGCTTTATCTTCGTCTTTCTCTGCCAGCTTTTCCAACCGAGGAGGAGGAGGAATTTCAAAGGGACTAAATCGGCCCGAGTAGCGCAGAGTAGGCAAGGTCATATTTTGCAAAAGAAAGGGCTTGTATTTCCTGGATAGAAAAACCAAAACAACATAATTCAATACACAAAATGTAATTCAAATAAAACGTTTTACCAAAATTCAATTATATCCAGATGGAGGTTGAACAATGTAGTGAATATTTGTATCATCAACATCATATTTTCAAATTGAAAATATTGTAATCCAATCCACACACTATGATCAACCCCAGGTAGACTTATGAGTATATATATATATCTATCTAATACTGAAATGTTTCAGATGTGCCTTCACCCACACTCACTGCCTGCCTGGAGGAGATACAGGCGTGGATGAAGCAAAACTTCCTGAAACTCAACAGCTCCAAGACCGAAGCCATTATAGTTGGCACCCCACACCAGGTTCGGTCATCCACCATCACCACCATCACCTTCTCCGGCCAGGACATTACCCTCTCCTCAATAGTCACCAACCTGGGTGTGAAAATGGACGCCCATCTGACCTTTGAGGCTCACATTAAACAGCTGTGCAAGAACTCCTTTTATCACCTCAGGAACATCGCCAAACTCCACCCCACACTCACCCTGTCTGACGCCCAAAAGCTAGTCCACGCCTTTGTCTCCTCCAGGCTGGACTACTGCAATGCACTCCTCATCGGGATCCCTAACAAAAGCATCCAGAAGCTCCAATACATCCAGAACAGCGCTGCTAGAATCCTGATGAGGGTGCGCAAATATGATCACATCACCCCCATCCTTAAATCACTACACTGGCTCCCCGTGGAACTGAGGATCGAATTCAGTGTATCCATGGAACTGCCCCTCCCTACCTCAAGGAACTCCTCACCCCCCATACCTCCTTGCGGACCGACCGCTCCAGCAACTACAACTTACTCAAACCCCCCAGGACTAAGCTCCGTACTATGGGAGACCGGGCCTTCTGCTCGG